GTGTGTGTGTGTGTGTGTGTGTGTGTGTATGCGCGCGCGATGTGTGTATATATATATATTATATATATATTTACCACATATTCAATATGATCAAATTGCGTTCTTCAATTCGTTAAGAGATTAATGCGATAAAAAAAATTTTTGTTAAATCTATTGTAAATTTTCATCATTCCACATTCATAATATTAAAATATTACAATATAAGTATAAAATAAAGTATAAAAATATTATAATATAAACTAATTATAAAAATATTACAATATAAACTAATTCTATAACAAAATTCCTCTTTATATGAACAATTTTTATATGTAGAATAAATATAGGATATACAATTCATGGAAAATATACAGCGCCATCTATTTTATGTTGTATATCGATGCTGAAGAACGTATTGAAGGGTCCGAAGAAGAAATGCGAAGCCATACTAGGTTTTGTTTAAAGTGAAGTGCTTGATAATTAAGCCTAATGTCTTTTATATGGATATTTTTAACTGAATAAATGGAATTCTGGACTTTTGCGTATCTATAGTTCAATACATAAGGAAGAAAAAGGTGCAGTAAAGAAAAATTTTCCATAATTTGATTTTTCTATGCGAAGACGGTCAGTTTATATTACTTTCATTCTAAACACATTGTTCAAAACTCTGTAAGTAACTTTTGTAAAATTTGTACTCGTTTTGTAATTATACTATATATATATTTATATATTATATTATATATTTATATTATACTATATATATATTTATATATATAGAAAATTATATTTTGAGAGTTATTTACATGTATGCATGATATTATGGCATACATTTGTGCGTCTATTGAAGGGTGATATACATACGTAATATTCAGGTTAATGTATATGTTCAATTTCAGTTAATTTTAATAAGAAATTTGAAATTTTTTGTTTGTAATTTTTGTAATCAATTAAATTTATGTCTTAAAAATTATATGAAAGTTAAAAGAATTACTGCAAATATTACACAAACCAGATTGCCTTTAAAACTAAAAATTAAAAATATTTTAAAATGTAGATTGCATCTTAATGTTTAATTTTTTTTTTGTTGCAGTTATAGAATGGCATTAATTTGTATTTTGGAATAAAATCATAATTAGATAACTCATTTATTATGATGAAAATGTGCCATGAAATAATTTAACACTTGATGTTGTATTATAATTTTATCTATATATATATGTAGGAATAGAAGTTTATAAGCTTATGGAGTTATAAATGAAAAAAAAATATATATATATATTTACATGTTAATCTTTATGTTTAAAACATATTGGCTATAATTACATTTGATGATTGCATAGTCATTACAAAAATGAATATTGATAAGAGTAAAAAAGATTATGCTATTTGTAGTAGCAAATTGGATCAGAGATGCCTTATCTCTTGGAGCTCTCCAGAAGACAATTTCTCATTTAAACATAGATATGTACCATGTAGTAGATCAGTTTCACATAGAAACAAACGTTTCGTTAAATATAGATTAAGTCGATCTCTGAATTTTGATTCAAGTATCAATAATTCTAGTTCAGAAAACAGCTCTCTTGAAGAAGATAAACATTTATCTAGATCTGCTAAGATAATGAGGGCTTTAAATTTTAATAGCCCCTCTTATTATGGGAAAACAAAAATAAAAAAGTCATTAAATTTCAATTTAACTCCTAGTCCAAAAAGGTTTAGGCATGTGAAAAGAGGTATACAAAAATCTTTGAGCCTAAACTTCAGTTCTCCCTTATCAGTTTCCAATAAATTTATAAACCTTGATGATAATCATAGTGAGTCTACGAATAGTAGTTTATTATTTTCATCTTCTGATTCTATCGATGAAAATCAAAATGAGACACCATTGCAGCAAAATACAAAGGAACATGAAATGCTACATTATTCTACACCTAATACAAAGCATATCAGAAAATCATTAGGTTCAGCAAGTTTTACACTACATAGTCGAATGAAAGAAACCATTGACAATATTGATAATATTGTATATATTACTGCAACGCCCAGTTCACAGTCATTAAAATGTATCAAAGGTAGATCAAAATATACCAATAATATCATGAATACTTCAAGAAATCTATTTCATGAATTTCGTGATAAGGATGACAATGGACCATGCACACCCAAAAATTTAATTTGTATAATTCCAGAAAGTATGAGTGCTATAAAAAAAAGCCACAAGAAAGTAAGTAAAGAAAATTAATTGAAATTTCTTTTCTCTCAGTTAATATGCCTGTTTCTCAGTTAATTTTGCCCTTTAATAAAATTAAATAAAAAATAAGTAGTTTTATATTTTGATGTATTAAAATGAAATTATCATTAATTTTTATATATTGTAATGTTATACAGGAAAGATCATCAAGGCGTAGTGCCAGTTATTCGACACAATTCACAGATAACAAAAGTGTACCTCTGGACAGATCTAAATTTTTAGCAAATCAACATACGAAATATATTGATTCTTTTGAAGATACTAAATCAGATATTGATCAATGTACTGATGAAAATTCGAATTCTAATGAATTAATATTAAACCATTCTGAAGATAATATATCAGAAACAGGTTCACTTTTTGATTATACAGAGGAACAGAAAAATATTTTAGAAGAATCTAAAGAATTATCTGATAGCGTTGCGCACGAAATAGATAAATTCGATGTTAAAATAAAATTAGAGGAGAATGTAGACCGTTTATCGAAAATTGATCCTAGTAACATTGATGCTAACAATTCAACTAACAATACTAGATCTGTAACTCCAGTGCCAGTAAAAGAAGAATTAAACTTGCAAAAATCTGTTACTCCTGAGAATCATATAAATATTTTAGAAACAATTATTAAAGATTCTATAAAAAAGTCTCATAAAAAAATTAAAGGTGATAATAAAAAGAGATTGTTCAGCCCGAAAGTTTCACAAGAGAAACTAAAAGCTACGGAGAATATTACATGTTCACAAAATTTTGTACAATATGAAAATATTGAACAGAATAAAGTATCTAAGATGAATACTCTTGATGTGTCAAGAGAGGAGCGATCGTGTACACCTGAAAAAGTGAATTCCAGCAGGCTTTTATTATCACAATATAGTTCAGTTAAAAAATCTCATAAAAAGGACAAACATAATAAGATAATATCTGGGTTTTTAAAACGTCAAGAATATTTTAATAAAGATATGGATTTAGTAACAAATAATGAATATAAAGCATTTGATAATGATACATCTAAATGTAAAAATAGTATGAAAAATTATTCTTCGGATTTAGATATTGCTACAAACATTGATGATTCTACACCTTTAGTGGCGTCTGTAAGCTTGAATTCGTCCCTGGAAAAATTATCTCCAAGTAAAAGAAGGAAACCACAAGATATATCGTCGGATAGCGAGAAAAATATATTGTTTGATTCTGAATTACAAGAATTGGATACATCAAAAGAAGAATTTAAAATTTTTACGCCCCTTAAAAGGAAAAGATCATTGATTGTATCTAGCGCTGCTAAAGATTGTACTCATTTTTACGATTCACCGATTGAGCATTCGAAAGATGTTATTCCAAATATTAGTTTCTCGAGATGTTTAACACCTGTATTAAATCTTTCGAGTAGTTGCAAAAAGGGGGAGAAATGTAATACAATAATGAAGTCCGATGATAATATTAACAATGAAATTGCAGAAGAAATATACGATTGCGGTTCTAATGATGTAACGGGTAGGTTGACTCCAAGAAATATGTCAACTACGGAATTGTATTCTAATTTAGATTCCATTAAAAAATCACATAAAAAAAATAAACGTGGAAGTAGTTCGTGGAAAAGTCTCAGTTTAATTGAGGGTAACCATTCCGTGGACGGAAAATGTGAAACAGTAGAAAATGTTTCAAGTGAAACGAATGATCTATTAGAACTTTCGAATAATTGTGCTGTCATAGATGATGTGATAGACAAGTCGATTTATAATAAATCGATAGAAAAATTGGCAAATCCTGTAATTGATAATCAGAATTGTGCAAGTACCAGCACCGGAAATATATCGCCGTTCGTAACACCACCTAATTGTTTAAAGACGAAAAGTTATATCAAGTTGTTACAGGAAACTTCTATTAAGCGATCACATAAAAAAATTCGAAATAAAAAGAAAGATGAATTAATAATTGATACAGACGAATTGTCGGACGATGGATCAATATTTGGCGATGAAGAAAAGTCATCTTTTGCTGAAGATAAATCTACGCATGATTAATGATAAATAACTTGATAAACGATATTTTTGAAAATACATTACTGGTAAGTGCAGCTATAATGATTCATACTTACGATCATTACGCAACATGAGAATAATGTATGAACTTTTTATACAAGAAGCAGTTGAAAATTTTTTTGACTAGGAACTGTACATTTAACTAAATTTAAAAAATTTAATCAGTTAATTCAATCATTACTTTTATTGTGTATAATTTCATGATATAATATGATTTTTGTTCTTTCATTTTTATTATATAACATTATAAGAGCTGTATAGCGTACAACATCTATGTAATTATTATAGTTTATGAGTAATGCCTATATTTGTATGTATATTTATGTATGTACACTGAAAATGATATCATCCTTAATTTTCTTACATGTCTAATAGAACAGTATACATATATTTATTAGAAGCGTTTGTCTTACATCTTATGCACATATAGTATAAATTACAAAAATGTTAAATTTATGATGATATAGAGTCACATTACATATTTCAATATGTGAGTTATAATTGAATTATGTTGATTCTATGACTCTTCGTTTTTAAAATTGCTTGCTATTTTAGCATATTTTTTATTATTACATGTATTGTTCCAGAAGTTATTGATAATGACATACATACTATAAAAATAAGTAAGATTCCCTTTCTATTTTTGTTAATTATTTCTCAATAATATCTTAGTATAAACTTTGTTTATCGTCGTTAAATAATTTGTTCAATTCATTGGATAAATGTAACATCACATTTTATTGAGACAATGCATGATATCAGTAACTATGAAAAAAAAAAAAATGTATTTGACCTGTATATTAAAATGTTTGTTTATGTTAAGAATTTACCGATTAAATTTCGACAGTTTTTATAAATTAAATACGACAATTTTTATGAGTATATCGACATTAGTATCTCTTTCCTTTATTTAACATTAATATCTTTACTTTATCTTAACTTTATTTCTTCTCTTTTTTTAATATTTGACTTTTTCTTTTCTTTTTTTCTCTCTTTTTTTTTAAGAATTTCGGTGATATTAAACATATATGTTATTGTTTGCAAAAATGTAGCAACTAATTTACTAAGTAATAGTAATTTACTAAGTAACAAAAATTAAATAGAACTATAGGAAAATAATGAGTAAACTTCAAAGATATTTATCTTTGTGGCAATACGTGCGTGCATTATAATAATGTATAGTATATGGTGGTGATACAACTGATAAAAATCGGCATTGTATTGGGCCACCTTGGATGTGTAAAATATTTTTTTGTAATTTTTTTCTTATAATAGAATGATAATAGAAGATTAGGGGAAAGTGCAGTGCCTTTATTATACAAATCTTGAAAGATAATTCTATATTTTTCTTTTTCTTTCTTTTTTTAAATAGTTGAGCTAATATCATCTCAATGCATCATCCTTTTGCAGTAGCGTAAATTACATATCTATTTCATAGTTTGAGCTAAAGAAGAAAACCAAATATTTTTAATTTCTAAGCGTAAGATTTACCAGTGAAACAATTAATTGGATGGAAATTGTAGAAGATATTTCGGCTACCGTGAAAAGGGTATGATTCAGAGTAAGATTTAAATTGATGGTGCATTAACATTCCAGCCATTTTTGTAGAAAAGAAAAAAGAAAAAGAAAAGAAAATACAAATATTTTTTAAGACCTGTATAATAAAAGACATATTCAAAATTTTCCTTTAATTTTACTGTATTATTAGAAAATGATTGAATTTTACATCTTCAAAGTGGAGTAAGCCCTTCAACGTTATTTTTTATTTGAATTCTTTCCTAATGTCTTCCTTTTCAAATGTCCCTGCAACGTTGAGAATAATATAAAATAATATTAATTGTACTCAAGAAGTTAGTATTCGTATAAATTAATATACGTGATTAATTTTTGTATAAATTAGCATATGATGAAAGTACTAACGTAAAGAACAGCTTGTTCAGTTTAGTTGATTGCGAGTGTCATTTGTATATGCATAAATTCGATGTAAGATGTAAAAATGTTATCGTACAAATTTGTGGAATTTGAAACTCATTTCTTGAATTCTATTCCTATAGGATTTGAAATAAATATCAGTAAACACCGTGTATAACATAATTAAATGTACATACTATAACATGGTATAATGTTAATTTTCTAATTCTTAAATATTGCATATGCATGAGTTTGGACACACAGATTAGATATAATGGATGGATTAGAAAATAAAAAAAAAAGCAATTGTTCATTTTTTCATCGCAAATATCTTTGCGATGATAATAGTTGATAAGTTTCAATATTAAAAAGTTTCTTAAACCAAGACTTTATAATTTTGTATTTGCAATTAATATCACGTTAAATGCGAAAGTAATAAATAATTGAACTGGTACAAAGGATAATTGATAAAGATCTTGTTTGTAATTTCACGTTCAAAAATTTTACAAGCTACGTTTTTTACATTAAATATCAATTTCTATATTTTTCCTTTTCTCAGTTTCACAAATTAGCAAATTGAAATTTTAATTCACTTTTTGGTAAAATGAAATTTTAATTTGCTCAGGAAACTTCTAAAGAATACCTTCCTTCATTTATTTTGTAACATCATTGTTTTTTAAATTGTATTATTACTGCAATTATCTTGCTGTTCTAATATAGAAATTCGTTGCATCTTTAATGTTTCTATACAACAATTATGTTACAAATTTAAATGTACTTGGCCACTTAAAATTACTTGCGTGATATTTCCAATTAATTTCTTTAAACTGTAGTATGGTTATACTATTTCATAATATTAACAATTTGTTAACTACCTACTATAGTTAATAAACAAGAATATTTAAAATAAAATACATCTCTATGTTTCTGTCTTTGTTTACTTATCTTTTCCTTATATTTTATATTTAATTATTTTGTACTTGTCATATTTCACATTTGTTTATTTAATATTTCTAATTTGCAAATATTTTTATTTTGCTTAGATAACAAGTACGGATATTCCATTGATATATGACGAGCAATGATGAAAATAGTTTTTCCTTATGATTTATTAATAAATCGTAAATTTTATTAAGTTTTTTCTTTTAATACAAGTAATGAAAGTGTACCGTGTATTTACGTGTATATTGATAAATTATGATTTTATACTGAATATTTATATTGTATTACGTACATTGTAATGTATATACATAGTAAAATGATTTAATTTAATATAAAATATTTTTCTTGGATCGTATCCATATATACATGTTTTTAAATTACCTTCGAAACAAACAATCGAAATGCGCGTATGGATGAAAAACTTTACAAGAATTAAAGAGATCACTGAATTGATATTACTTTTATCTTTTAATAATTTTGTAATGTAAAATTTGCAAAATGTAATATATATTACGCATTTTGTTTAGTAATTTTTGTTCGTGAAATAATCTATTGTTATGTCCCAGACAAAGAACATTGTAATTAAAGAATACATGAGTTCTTTTGTCTGGTGAATATCAAGAAAAGATATCGTATCAGAAGAAAAAAGATTATAGTATATGGAAGAATTTTGCGTTTCGTCTTGGAAATCCGCTAGCCATTTGTTAATGGGGCTTAATGATGTTGATTCTTGCCCCGGATGTTTGGGTCAAGAACTCAAAATGAGCACCGGAGCGGCACCTATTTTAAAACGGGTCGCATGTGAAGTTAGTTAGTATCGACTTGCAGTGGTGCCAGAGTCAAGGTGTCGAGAACGTCACACCATAATAGTGAAATAACCTAAAATAATCATGGGAAAACTAAACGTGACGATTTTACGATATTTAACAAGAGATGATTTCCGTGTTTTAACAGCGGTAAATGTGCATTATATATATAATTAAATTAAAACAATATTTTATCGTATGTGTATTGTAGTTCATTTTACGTATACGAAGCAATAGGTTTAGGTTAGGTTTAGGTTATGTCAAAAATTGCAGGATTTTGCATCTTTTAATGTGCGAAAAGATGAGAAAATGATTGTTTAAATTGTTTCTCTGAATATTTGGTCTTTTGAAAGTATACGATTTTATATTTTTATAAGGAAAAAATATCAAGTCTTGACTCAAGTTAATTGTGCAATGCTTATGCTATTATGTTAAAAAATAGCTGTTACTTTTAAAATAAAAAATACAGCAATGCTATTAAATCTTCCTGATATTTACTGTTACAGATTGAAATGGGAATGAAGAACCATGAATTTGTTCCTGCGTCGCTGGCTGCTCATATAGCAAATTTACGTTACGGTGGTGTACATAAATTGTTGAAAGAACTATGCAAGCATAGGCTTCTCTCTTATGAACGTGGAAAACATTGTTAGTTGATCATTTAAATAATAATAATAATAGGATCATTTAAATAATACAATACAGATTTTAATAATAATAAAGCAACACAGATAATGCGCACATGTGTATAAAATATTTATTTTATTTTTTTAGATGATGGTTATCGTTTGACAAATGCAGGCTACGACTATTTGGCTTTAAAAGTTTTGGCACAAAGAGGTACTGTTACTTCTTTTGGCAATCAAATTGGAGTAGGGAAAGAATCTAACATTTACATAGTTGCTAATGATGACGAAGATTCAGTATGCTTGAAACTACATAGATTAGGAAGGACTTGTTTTAGAAACATCAAGAGTAAAAGAGATTATCATCAACATAGAAGATCAGCATCGTGGTTGTATCTATCAAGATTATCGGCGACAAGAGAATATGCATATATGAAAGCACTTTATGATAGAGGATTTCCAGTACCCAAACCAATTGATCTCAATAGACATTGCGTTGTTATGGAGCTGGTTGAAGGTGGACCTCTGTAAGGAAAATTATCATTACTTTTTTTTACTATTTTATTTTAAGTGTAGTATCTACAAGACAGCTTTGTTTTAGATGTGGTGTATGCAAAGTGGATGATGTTGGACTGTTGTACGACAAATTGATGAATTTGATTATAAGACTGGGAAATCATGGAGTTATTCACGGTGATTTCAATGAGTTCAACATCATGATAACAAGTAGCGGAAAACCTATTCTTATTGATTTTCCGCAGATGATTTCCACCAAGCATGTGGAGGCTGCAACTTATTTCGAAAGAGATGTAAAATGTGTCCGTGACTTTTTTAAAAGACGGTTCGCTTATGAAAGCGAATTATACCCAACATTTCGTGATATTTCGTAAGTTATAGCAAAAATATAAAGGCGAACATTAAATAAAATATCAGTGTTACTTTTCAGTTTTAAATTATATAAATGAATTTATCTTTAGGAGGGAAGATTGTATTGATGTAGAAATTAAGGCCAGTGGTCTTACAAAACAAATGGAGAAGGATCTTTTGAAGGAAATAGGTATGATCGAAGCTGAACATGAAAAAAGTGAAGATGAGTGCAGTGAAAATGCGAGTGAAGGAAATAGAAGTATGGATGACAGTGAAATTAATTATTTGCAAGTTCAAGTTGAAAACTCTGTAAGAAATGAATTTATGTGTACATCAAAGGAAACATTCGTAAACGCGAAAGTAAATGAAAAGAAAGACTCAATTGTCTCATCTCTAGAAGAGGGCGTCAAGAATATCGATATAAATAAATCAGTGGAAAGTCTAACAAGTATAAAGTCGTATGATTTAAATGAAAAACATAATGAAGGAACGACTAATTCGGTCTTTGATACGGAAACATCCAACGTAGAAGAATTTAGTGATTCAAGAAGTATGTACAGTAGTGTGACAAATGCAACGATCGCTCCCGAACTCATTAAGAAAAAGGTGAAAGTAGTTTTACGAAAACGCGAAAGAGAACAGTCTAAAAGAATTCTCGTGAAAGGAGAGGCAAACGCGGTAACTAGAATTAGAAGGGAGAATAAGGATATAATTAAACAGTCGACAGGGATATGGGGTTGGGAATAAAAATGACAAAACATTTTTGCTACTTATTGTAGATGATTTATTAAAAAAAACAACAAAAGGAGAAAAACTATCACATATTTATTACCAATAAAGTTTTAATTCTTCTCCATTAAGCTTATTTCCCTGAAAGAATTTATTTAGATATAATACTTTTAACTTTTAAATAACGTTTCAGTATCTGTAAAAATATGATTTAGTATTATTTTTTATTTAAAATAACTTGAATCAGTTATTATATGGCAAGATAATAGAGGCAAATTAAATTGAGATAAAATCCAATCTAATCTTTCAGTATTTTGTGTCTTATATAACACTTGATATGATGGAAAATATAAATCCTGGTATGATTCTTCACGCATATTCTCTCTCTCTCTTTATCTTTCCCCTCTTTTCATATAAGTTTAGGTTTTCATATAAGTTAGGTATATAATTTTTCATTCTTAATATTTATAAGTATAATCATGTACAAGTAATTGATTTACTAAAAGAATGTGTACTTGTGAGAGAGAGAGAGATGCATTTGATAATAGATATAAATACCTATATACTGAAAATAGGTTGGTAAAAATTTACAAGGGAAGTATTTAGTAGAAGAGAAATAATCTAATATTAATCTAATATTTGACAATCGATATTTAATCTAATAGTTGACTTTTGAAACATGCACAATATAAACAAACTTTAAATATTACAATTAATTTAATTAAGTTAATTTTTTTTACCCAAAGGAGTGCAATATGATATATTATTTGATATATGACTATTGATGCTGATACTTTCATTAAATATCTCAAAATATTATTATTTTTCCATTTATACAGTGATAAGAGAATTAAGAGGCATTTTAGAAAGAATTGTATTACGAAATTTGCATTAAACAGATAAGATAGCTTTCAGTTTGTTTCAAATTAGATACAAAGGTCGAATGTTACTTACATTTAGATAAACACGAATTTTGTTTATATTCGGTGGTTACAACTGTTTCTTTTTCTTTCGTTTACATCGGCATCAATATACTTTATTGTGTATTTATTGTTTATTTGTGTATTTTACGTACATTGTGATTTTTTTCGTGTCTTGTTTCTATATGTTTAATTTTTACAATTCGCTCCTACAAGCGTAGAAAATGTACTTTTCTATCATTTGATTTACATGCAATAATTCTTCTTTCCTGGTTTTTAAAAATCGCGTATTGTTCAAGGTAATTGATCATGCGTCAATGCATGTGTGTAAGTACATGTTTACGAGCATCGTTTTACATTTTAATTATCGAACGAACATGTCGAATTTTATAACCGTTTATAAACATATTATTTTGCAACGGATCTTGACCTCTTAACCGAACAAACGGACACTGATTGGAGGTTTTGCTTCGGGGATCGTTCGATTCGAGAGGGAAAAATATTTTGTACAACTCTTAATAATTCGTAAAAGTGTCGAACGGAGAAAGAGAAGGAGAGAGTATTTGAACGAGACCAAAGTTTCTTTATCAAGAAAGTCGTATACATCGATATTTTGTTGAGGAGTGAAGAGGTTCCATGGATGATAAGGTTGCTAGTTGCGGTGAGCGTGGCAGCTAGAACTGCTTATATATAAGCCGCGCGTGCACTTCTCTTCTAGTTTTAGCTTCCCTAGTGCTCTTCCGCGAAATATTCCGGATACCAAGAGACCGCTCGTCGATCACTGTAACTGCATGTTGTTTCGTATCATGGCCACCGACAATCTCACAGCTATTCTCTATGGCATCAACGACATTAGGCTGGTTAGTATGTTATACAAATTAT